CCTACCAAACACCATCAACATCCTTCCAAACACCACCAACTTCCTGTCAACCATCAACATCCTACCAAACACCATCAACATCCTTCCAAACACCACCAACTTCCTGTCAACCATCAACATCCTACCAAACACCACCAACTTCATACCAAACACCACCAACTTCATACCAAAACACCACCAACATCCTTTTAGCCACAAAAATAACAACAATCTATTTAACTGCCAACAGCATACCCTATTTTTAGAAAGTTATGCTATTTGCATGTTTGTGTCTTTCACATATCTTTATTGTTCGTATAGTTTAAAAAATATAAAATAGAATATCACAACCTACAAAACACTAGTTGGCTTTAAAAACGTGAGCTGTTTCTTAAGTTCACTGATTAGTAATGGTACAAGATCTAACAACTTAGCTAAGTAGAAGTACATTTTATGGTGTATAAATTTGAGTTTTGTCTTCAGTAGCTAGCTTGAAAGAAAAGTGCCTTGAAGAAGCATTAAGTTATTTTATATATAATCCACAGGTTGTGTCCACCATTATTATTAACACCATCCCAGGAAACAAACCACCACCCAATATTGAAGGAAAAGCAAAAGTATCTGTCAAGGTAAAATAGTTTGTCTTGTTCTTTAACCCTAGAACTCCAGCGTGGCCAGTTTAGTACACAGGATTAACTTGTATGGGATGGTAGTGACCCCATGCTGGCATTCTAGAGTTAAGAAACTTGTCTTGTTCTTTAAGGAATTTGTTTTAATTATACTTGTACACTCTTGAAAATCCTTAAGGGACTTGGTAAAGATTGGAGTGTTTCAAAATGTAATAGGCCTAATGTTGTATAAGTATAGTCAATTATATTTATGTAATAGGCTTAATGCTAATGTTGTATGATAAGTATAATTGAATATATTTATGTAATAGTCTTAATGCTAATGTTGTATAAGTATAATTAATTATATTTATGTAATAGTCTTAATGCTAATGTTGTATAAGTATAATTAATTATATTTATGTAATAGTCTTAATGCTAATGTTGTATAAGTATAATTAATTATATTTATGTAATAGGCTTAATGCTAATGTTGTGTGATCAGTATAATTGATTATATTTATGTAATAGGCTTAATGCTAATGTTGTGTGATCAGTATAATTGATTATATTTATGTAATAGGCTTAATGCTAATGTTGTGTGATCAGTATAATTAATTATATTTATGTAGTAGGCTTAATGTTGTATGATAAGCATAATTAATTATATTTATGTAATAGGCTTAATGCTAATGTTGTATGATAAGTATAATTAATTATATTTATGTAATAGGCTTAATGCTAATGTTGTATGATAAGTATAATTAATTATATTTATGCTTTGCCAGCTTGTAAAATAATAACAGTAACAAGAAATATGTCTTGTTCTTTAAGAAACTTATCTTGTTTTTAAACACATTTTGTTAGTTAAGGTATTAAGATTTTAAGGCTTAGGTATACCTAGTCCATACTCTAGTCTGACATAGTGACAAACTACAGATACTCTTAGAAGAAGAGTAACTAATCGTACAGACTTTTGTGATTATCGATGATTAAACAGTAGACTGAAATTTGTTGAAACCCAATGAACTGGAAAAACAAAGCCTAATTATCTGTTAATTGATGATTTATGTCAGTATCTGTAACCCTGTTAGGATAAAACATTTGTTTCTAACATATAAGATAAAACTTTCTGATATTTCTTGAAACTTCCATTAAAAACATGTAAAGAAATATCTTTTATTGAAATAAAATCAGAATTATAACAATCTAACTGTTGAGTGGGAAATATAAATTAAAACCTGACTCTACCACAATTTACACACACAACAAATTTAAATAGTTCTTTTACTGGTTCGAGTGTTTCCTGGATCTATAGTTCAAAATAGATTTAATAAGAATATGTTTCCGTACTGGCAGAATTGGCAGGTAGAATGTCCAAGGCCTTGGATGGCAGGAGGAACACCTCTGCGGGGAGAGTTGATGTCCGAGAGCGAGGTAGTCATTAGAAGTGGTGAGCTGATCTGTGGAATTTTGGACAAGGCTCACTTTGGACCTACTCCTTATGGCCTGGTGCACTGTTGCTATGAGGTGAGAAGCTGAACTGTTTAATAATTTTGGTCAAATCCTTTTTAACAAGGATGAAGATAATTGAGAAAAGTTATTACATATATAACAACACATATAACATTATAATGTATTATATCAATTACTACATCACATATAACATTATAATGTATGTCCATGTATTATATCAATTACTACAACACATATAACATTATAATGTATTATATCAATTAGTAAATCACATATGCTTGCAGTGTAGAATGTTTTGAAGATAATTGAAACTGAGTTAATCTACAAAACATTTCCAAACTTTTCTTATGAGTATAGTTATTCTAAATAAGTTAAAGAAAGTGAAAAAAAGAGGATTTTCTGTGCATTAGCTGTGTTTCATCAATGTCTTAATCTCACTTGTCAATTTGTTTATTTAAATGTCTTAAGAAAATAAAATATTAAAAAAAAGATTAACTTTGTATCTCTTTTTTGGGGGGGGGACCAAGTGTGGCGTAGTGGCTAGCGTGCATAGATTGTGAATCTAAGGGTTCATGGTTTGTGTCCTGTTATTGCACATAAAATGTGTTCCACACTTTGTGGCTGTGGATGCATTATATGAGTGACAGTCAAATCCCTCTATTTGATCAGGCAAGAGCAGTCAATAAATTTGTGGTAGTGATGTTGAACAGCTGTTTTTCCTCAAGCCTATCCATTCAAAATTAGGGGTAATTAGTGCATATAGTGTAGTGTAACTTTTGATAAAAATTTTAAACTTTTCTTTATTTCTTTCCAGTTGTTTGTAACTTTTTGCAATGTAATTTCATGGGTTATCCATCACCCTTTCAGTATTTTTTAATATTTTGGGGATAGCTTTAAACATAACCTAGGTATAGTTTTTGAGATCACAGTTGATATCATTTTAGTAAATTAAGTGTTACATAAATGAAATGCACTTTTTCATTGTGCCTAAGGACTGAATTATTTACACTATAGTTAAGTGTCACTTATTTTTGTAGAGATGTCGTGTTCACTTGTGTTAAACAGTTGTGTTATTTTATCTTACTTTAAGAAATATTATTAAGCTTTAACTTTTTCTGCATGAACAAAGCAGTTCATTGAAAAGCAAATTATATATCTCAGTTGTTTTTATTCTACTTTGAAGCTGTACGGAGGCCAGACATCGACTCTGCTGTTGACGTCTCTAGCAAGAGTGTTCACTCATTTCCTTCAGATCCATGCAGGATTTACTCTGGGAATACAAGATATTCTAATTACACGAAAGGTAGTATTGATCTTCCTGAGAGAAAACATAATTTACTGTAGGACTTTAGGGTTAAATAAGTGTTGATCTTCCTGGAGAGAAAACAAGATTTACTGTAGGACTTTAGGATTAAATAAGTGTTGATCTTGAGAGAAAATGACATGATTTACTGTAGGACTTTAGGATTAAATAAGTGTTGATCTTGAGAGAAAATGACATGATTTACTGTAGGACTTTAGGATTTAAAAATGTGTGTTGACTCATCCTT